ATCGAATTCCTGTGACTTCCTTCGTACTAGATCACCCCTGTTGCTGACACCTATTTCTGGAATGTGACTTCTGGCAAGACTAAAGATGTCTGCATTAAAGCTAGGTTGCGGGGTCTGGAAGGGGCTTCCTGTTGTCTGGGGCTGATTACGTATATGGTTAATATATCCTCCATGTGTAAAGGACAGTAAATCATCCTTTAATATATTTAATTCACTTTGAAATTTACTCATCCTTTCCATTTGTGTATGCTGGCTTTCTCTCAACTGTTGGAGACTTTCTTCTTGTTTATTTTTTTCTCCTCCAACCACCGCTGTAGTCTCTCTTCTTGTTTATTTTCTTTCTCCTCCAACCACGGCTGTAGTCTCTCTTCTTATTTATTTTCTTTCTCCTCCAATACTGCTGTAGTCTCTCTTCTTGTTTCTTTTCTTTTTCCTCCAACAACTGCTGTAATCTCTCTTGTTTATTTCGCTGTTCGAGTTGCCACTTTTGCAGCATTTCTTGCCACTGCTGTTGTCTCTCTTCTTGTTTCTTTTCTTTTTCCTCCAACAACTGCTGCAATCTCTCATGTTTATTTTGCTGTTCGAGCTGCCACTGTTGCAGGTTTTCTTGCCACTGCTGTTGTCGCTCTTCTTGTTTCTTTTCTAGTTCTTCTTGTTTCTTTTGCTGTTCTTGTATTGTTGCCATCAAATCTGCTAAGTCATAGTTTGATTTGCCACTTCTAGTTTCCATTTTTTTCTCTTCCATCCTACTTCATATGTATTATTTCCAATAATACTTATCTCCACTGACACTCTCCCACCCTAAATGAGGTGCTTATATACAGTACCTAGATAGAAGGCGCCTTGATGTTGGTGAGAAATTTACAAATTAGAATTTTCCAAGGGCATTCAAAGTGTGGTATAAAAGATTGGAGTAAGTGTTTTCAATACATAGATGGTCAAAAAGTGGAAACCATGGATATCAAGAAATAGCTATTGTTACGTCTCTCTTCGTTTGTTAATTTCCCATAAAAACTCTCTCCGAAGAACTTCAGCAATACAAGTCCTTTCTTAAATAAAACTAGTTTATTCTTTCTCAATACAACTTTGCAATACACAGAATTTTCACAGTCACTTTAAGTTCAACACACGCTACAATTCACAACGATTCACGCACTTTACTTACGGTCACTGCCACTTACTTGACTCAATTATCTCTCTATATATCTCTCTTCAATCTGCTATTATATATGTCGTCACTCTTCCTCTCCGCTTTATTTGCCGGGCTTATATACAAAAATAGAGACCGTCTGGCAAACACTAGAGTTGCCAGGAACAGTCATGATCCTACTAGAAACTCGTGGTGTATTAACAGGGTCACGTGACATCCGCTGTCGTAACACTATAATGTCAGAGGAGGTAAGAGTTATTGGAAATACATTTTCAGTATAGGAAACTGTTAACCTTCGAATTTCCTTTAACTTTTATACACTTATAAATCTTTATAACCTACAATTAGGTATCAAATTTGGCCTAACCATAAGCTACATGCAAACTTATTCAACAAAAACGGCTCCATTTTGACCCATATATTTGCGCACGCCCACACTTGCGAGCTATCTGTCTACAATTTTTCTACAGCTTCACCTAAGAGTCAAAATGATCGGTTTTTAGTATTTTGTCACTGGGATGAAAGACAGCTGATTTAGAACAGCAAAACTACAGGGTGGAAGCACTTGTAGATAAGTATAGGTTATGCCAGTAAACTGGATTAGCAGTTTCTAGCTGAAGTTTTCAAACGAATTGTTACGACATAGGAAGTCACGTGACGCTGGGAGCATGCGTGCTGGAGATTCTCGAATTATCGAGGAACCCCGCGAATGTCCGAGTGTTTGCTAGACGCTCTCGTTTTTAGTATATAAGCCTGGCAAAGAAATCCAGCGATATAGATAGATAATTAAAGAAGCGAATAGTAGTGACGAGAGACGTATTGATTGTGGAATTACTGTGTACTAAAAGTTTGTATCGAGAAAGAATAAATTGGTTTAATCAAAAAAGGACTTGTATCGCTGCAGTTGCTCGGAAAGAATTTCTACCGGAAATTATCAAACAAGCAGATACGTAACAAATTGGTGTCAGAGAGTGGGACGGAAAAGAAAAAAAAAGAAGATGGAAACGAGAAGTGGCAAATCAAAGTTCGACTTAGCAGATTTGATGGTAGCAATACAAGAACAGCAAAAGAGACAAGAAAAACGAGAAAATAAACAAGAACAGAGATTACAGCAGTTGATGGAGGAGAAAGAAAACAAACAAGAAGAGAGACTACAGCAATGGCAAGAAAACCAGCACCAGTGGCAACTGGAACGAGAAAAGAAACAAGAAGAAAGTCTCCAACACTTGCGGGAAAGTCAGCAGCTACTACAGGAAAGTCAACAACAGTGGCAAGAAGTACAAATGGAAAACATTAGTAAATTTCAATCTGAATTAAATACATTAAAGGACGATTTACTGTCCTTTACACAGGGAGGATATATTAACCATGGACCTAATCAGTCCCAGACAACAGGAAGCCCCTTCCAGACCCCGCAACCTAACTTTAATGCAGACATCTTTAGTCCTGCCAGAAGTCACATTCCAGACATGAGTGTCAGCAATAGGGGTGATCTAGTACGAAGGAAGCCACAGGAAGTCGATGAAAACGCACAATGGGAAGCATATAGAGCACAATTTGAGCTCCTTGCAGAAATGAATGGATGGACAGAGGAGCAGAAAGCAATGTACCTCACAACGAGCTTGAAGAGACAACCACTGGAAATACTTGGACAGTTGTCAGCAGACTACAAGCACAACTATAGAGCACTGATAGCTGCTCTAAAAATCAGGTATGGAACTCAAAATCAGTCCGAAGTCTCAAGGACTAGGTTTAGGACTAGGGTCCGTACTAAATGGGAGAGCTACTACCAGTGATGTAACTGTTACTATAATGGGACATTTCCTGATGGAGCGGATGAGCCCCACGTGAGGCAGAGTCCAACGATACGGAGACCAGTTCGGAAGAAGATACGTCCCGTAAAATTAAGAGACTTGAATTTTAATTTTCTGTTTGTAAATTCTGTACATTTAATGAAGTTATTGTTAATTATCTATTGGTTAAATGTAAGTGGTTATTGTTCGGGACGAACAATAATAAGGAAGGAGTAGTGTTACGACAGGGGAAGTCACGTGACGCTGCTGGTGCGTTTAGCGCGGG